GTGAGAGAGAGAGAGAGAGAGAGAGATTGGATTCACGTGAAACCAACATGTTTTTATGAGACCGGTACATGAGACCACAATTTTACACTTGAAACTTAACAGCAACAAGTTGTGAAATTAAAAAACTCCAAACCTTTACAGCAAAAAACATTGTGAATGTTGCCTTCACATTTTTTTACTATGAATTTTCAAGTGTAAAAATGTGTACTCACGGGTCTCACGAAAATAGACTGGTCTTATATTGTGTGTGTGCGTGCACGCTCACGCATACGTGTAGGGGTCCATTCAAGTAAGAACTGATTAGTTTGTGATAATTGTGAGATCCAATCTCAACCACAAATCAATAGATAAATTAGAAAACTAATATTTTAGGTAATTTGACTTAATATTATAATTAAAGGGCATTTTAGGTATTTTAATTTTTTTTATCTCTCCCCTCTCTCTACACCTACCTTCGGCCTCCGACAAACATCATGTGATACCCAAAATACACCAAAATACACAATGTGATACCCAAAACACACCAAGTAAACTTTGAGACCTCAGTGATACCAACTGTGGTACCACTGTGATACCAACTGTGGTATCACTGTCGCAGGTGGTTGTTTAGTGGTTAATTATCGGATACGGTGTCTTGTCAGACAAGATGACCGGAAGAGGTCACCGGAGTGGTGGTGGGTGCCGRAGAATGAGAATGTCACCGGAAATGATTGGCTCATATTAGACCTCACAGTTACCACAAACCATCTACTTCTCATTTGATTAGACCCATATATATATATATATATATAGGGGCTTAATCAAATGAGAACTGAGTTGTTTGTGGTAACTGTGAGAACCAATATGAGCCAATCATTTAAATAATTAATGCTATATCCTAAAATAACATAAAGGGTAAATTGGTAATGTTATAATTATAAAACCCTAGATGCTTTAGGTACTCTTCTCCTTCGCCTACTTCTTCTCCGGCCACCCCCACCACCCCCATTTACTTTTTCATTGACGGTTTCCCCTGTTACAACCATCTCATCTTCTCTTTTATTAGAAAACCTTATCTCTCTTCTTTGATTTGGCTATATGAAATCAACAATCCTTTCTGGTTTTGCTTTGATTGTTTCTTTGATGGCTTCAAAGCATTGACTGGGACTTGCTGGAGTGGTTCACGAGGCATACGACGGAGACGAGACACGACAGAGGCAGTACGAAGGGGAAGGTTCGGGTGTGCTTTGCCTATTTCCTCGTCCCTGTGTTTGTGTTAGTTCGTACGGTGGTGCAGGGGTGCGTGCGTGTGTTGCGGAAGGTGAAAGGGAGAAGGGAGATAAGGAGATGGTGGCTGCAACAATGAAGGGGTAGTCGGAGAAGATGGATTGAGAAAGGAGGAGACGGGTAAAAATTATGTGGTACATGGTGGTACCCAAATTGGTAATACATTGGGTAATGGGTATCACAGGGTGGCCAGAGAAGATGGATTGGGAAAGGAGGAGACGAATGAAAATTCTGTGGTACATGGTGGTATCCTAATTGGTAATACATTGGGTAATGGGTATCGGCCGGAGAAGATGGATTGGGAAAGGAGGAGACGAGTGAAAATTCTGTGGTACATGGTGGTACCCCAATTGGTAATACATTGGGTAATGGGTATC